TTCGGCTGGCGCATGTTGAGTCGATCGTTCACGTCGGGAGTCTGAATTTGTATCCCAGATATAAATCGCTAGTTATCTTTAAGTGAAATGTATGTTGTACTTTAGCTAAAGTGAACTAGCCTGCGAACGGCAGACGTTTCTCCTCGCTCATCGTCGCTCAGCGGTGATGAGCCAGGAGAAACGTCTGCCGTTCGCAGGCTAAAGGTGAACAAAACGAAAGACAAACACATTATGGGACTTGACTATCATGAAACTCAAGTAGTTTCAAATAAACGTAATTTCCAGCCTGGCTCCAGGTGTCCATTCTCACCACGAAGGATAAGAAAATCCTTCATTTCGGTCTTTAAAGAGGCCCAAAAGGACTAACAGAAGAATATTATGGATGTGAGGAAGTCGAGAAAACGTTCTGGGTTTGTCATTTATTCAGGCATGCATTAGCCTGCCTGGCAGGCATTAAAAGGGAAACGGAGATTCGTCCGGCTGTTTGCTATACACAGTTTCCATTTTTAATAATCTAAAGAGGGGTTTGTTTTATTCATAAACCGTTAATATTACGACAGCTTTCATAAAAGAGACTTTCTGCATGATAAAGGTTTTGTCTCTAAATGCACAGAGGCGGTCATAAACCGAAATAATATACGCTAATTGTTTCAATATATTTTCTCAAAACTCCCGTTAATCTGCAAGAAAGTTTAAATAATAAACTTCCCTGAAACTTTTCAAACAAAGCTTTTATTAAAACGTTCTGTTTAATTGTCGACTGTATTTCAACAAGACATTTGTGAGTTCAGAAAACTTACTAGTTGTTTTCAATTAAGAATTTATTATTAACGTTTGGTTAACAGCTGTCTTCCGCGAAGATCAAGTTTGATCTCGATATTCATGCAACTGTTAGGAGATATTCCCTTTTAGTAAAAATAATAATAATAATACCGTGAAAGGTTTGAACCCACCAACTGACGTGATACAACTCACTTTGACTCTGAAGATGACTACCGCACAGGTTGTCGAAACGTCAGTCACTGTCAACAACAACAGTCCTATTCAGGACTACGTTCACCCGGACGATCAAACTCAACCTACTTTTGAAATAATAATAATAATAATAATAATGATAATAATAATAATAATACAAAACTTTATTCATAGATTTAAAAAAATAGACTATTTACAGATTCAAGAAGATGAAATATTAAAATATATACCCTATGTACATTCTTCTTGTGTACGAAAGAGAATTGTCGTAAAATGACTATCTAAAGACTACTAATAACAATTATAAAAAGCATCAAAAAGTTAATAAAAAAAAATAAAAAACTATTAAAAATAATAATTCAAACTGATAAAAAGTTACTACTTAAATTCTGGCTTGCGCACTTTCCGATGTAATGTCAATGTCAGATATATTGGCTGCTCTTCTTTTGCTCCTGGTTCCTCTGAGACACAGCAAGGCTGATCGTAGGATGGCAAAGGATACTTTCGCCCTTATCCAAGATATGGTTGTAGCGTAGTCATCTCCTTTCTTTAACGCAAGTAGCTCTGCGAGGCGGCTATGGAATCTCTTGCATTCATCGGCCATTCCACCTGTGCTTGTAGAATAATAATAATAATAATAATTTAAAATAACTCCTCCTAATTTTACAAACATGTAATAACGGGAAATACAACCGTTTCATAATAGTTGACACTACAGCTGCCCTCGCTCTCTATTTTGTCGGTCGTTGTAGCCCTGGTTTTTGAGTAAGCTCTTTGAAATATACCGCGAATTCGTATTGGAGATTTTAACTCATTAAACCTACAATAGGTGAAATAAAAGCAAGATTCCATGCACTGAGTCAGGCCTATCATTACTCAGCGTTGATTTTCTATTTTATATCATCCTGACCATTTCTTACTAGCGGGATTTCAGCATTGTTTAGGGCTAAAACGTCATTACCCAACGGCCCTGTTTAAGCAAATCGACATTTTTTCTGTTGTACTTACTGCATATTGTAACTGTAAGTACTTTCCTATGTATGCGAGCGAGCTACTAGGATACGTAGTGTCAGGGCGGATTCTTGCGTAATATTCTTCTCATTTCAAATTTAATCAAAAGCACCCAAAAAGTGAATGTGTTACGCCCATAAACTTTTTTTTTGGAAGGAGAGAACTCACTAGACGTTTTGAATTTAAAAACGGCCTTAAATCAAAAGGTCCATATTAGACGGTGAAACAAAAATTGCCAGAAAGAGTTTCACTCTGTTTGATATCTCTTAAAATATTATTAAAAACATGCCAAACAAGAAAGATCCCGCACTAAATTGAAGTTAGGTCAAATGTTACTTTGAAATTCTTCTCATATCTTACTATGCTGCTCGTACTCCAACTGAACACGACGCACAATCCAACGTACAATAACAAAAACTAAAACATGATGAATAATATTTTTTAATTTCTTTCGGGAGATATTTATTAACCGAGAAGACTTCAACGTTTACGGCCGTTTTGGCAGATGTTAAGAAATTCAATGCAAATGGTGGCTAGATGCATTAAAGGCAATTAGAGTTGATAAATAAAACTGAAACTGAAGGAAAGTTAAAAATAACGAGCAGGTTTTAATTTTGCTGGATGTTGTGGTCAACTTGGAAAATTAATTTACACGACAAGTGTCAAAATGAACTGAGTGGGTTGCTAGTTCGTGACATCTCAGCTTTAAATTAAGACGAGAATCGAGAAGGGTGGCATTCTGGCAAGCTCTGGCAAATTCATCCGGCATGGCTGGTTGTTGCTTATCTGTTCAAGCACTCTTCTTGGCCTGTGTTCTCTCATGGGGCGCTTGGCTAAGCTCCATTGATAGTGCAAATCAAGGTATGACTAAAGCCAACACACCTTATAAATTCATCTTCAATCTTGTTTTGCTACTAAGTGTAATATTATCAGAAAAGCTTTTAAAAAGGGTTTTTTTTCAATTTTTTTCGTACACAAGGCCTTACTACTTTACCAAACTTACAGCCTACTTTTTAATTTGTGCGTTTTTGTGTGCCTTTGGTAGTTATAACAACTTTGACATCGAGTTACCTTTCCGCATGGCCCAGCCACTCAGCGCGGTTAGCTTTTTCTATTTCTGGGTGGCTGTTCTCTCTTTCTTTCACAATTATTTCCTTTTAATGACTCTACACTTTTGTATCAAGAGCATAATAAAGATAGTTGTTGTTATTGTAACCTTCGCTGCCTCCCATTATGAGAAAGTTGAAATTCAAGCTTTGCGACTGAATCGCGCCTCTAACATGGGAGTACACAGTCTATTCTAAGCAAAACGAACCAGTCAGGTGCCGTGAGTTTTGGCTGAAGTTGTAGATAATTTTGGCTGTAGTTGTAGATATTTTGTGGAAAATTAAGTAATCCTTAACACGCTCGGAAGAATTGCAGGTCTTACGAGTTGTATATACGCGGGGAAGAAGAATTTTTTACTATCCCCACGGTTTTTGCTCTAGAGGGCTCCATGTAGAAAAAATTTGAGTACTCCTTTTGTTCCTATATGGGACCAAATCAAGAGAGAATAATGGACCAAGTGGCCAGCCTGCTCAGTGTTAGACCCCAAGTGAGTTTTATAAAAACAGGTACATACGAAGGTATTGGCCAGCGACTAATTAAATTTTGTGTTTATGTTTCTGTTGTGGTTCGACGGTTTGCCACTGATAACGTTTGTTTATTTACAGTTTACAAACATTTTGAATCTTTCCAGGCCTCGTGTGATTAAGTTGGCCAAAATATGGAAGCCACTATTACTTCTCTAAGATTGCACGTTAAACAAGGACGGTGTTGTGTCGACCTGTCATAAGATCTAAAAAGGAAAGCTTGAACTTTCCTGGTGTTCTCATTCGAATGATGTAGGATGGATGTTACGATTTGCGGAAATTAAATGCGTTTTAATAATGGCTCGTTTGTGTCTAGTGCGTGATCCTGTACTGGCAATGCTCTGTCCAGAGGCACATCCCCGTATAGTACCCCCGCCGGGTAACCATTTAGTGCAGGCCACCTAGTATAATAGCAAGGTTTTAAGAAAACAGCATTTCGTAAGTCAGATAACTAATCAACATTAATTTTAAAAAAATAATCTCAAATCAAAAATGGCCGAATGCTTGGCTGATACTGCGTTATAGAGGTCTTGGATGGTCTATCATCATGGGCATATTTTGGTAGGCAGCGAAACCTCAAAATTTAGCTAGAGTAAAAGAACTTGTGGCAAAAAAAATGCTTTGTTGAAATTTACATAGAAGATAGAACTTGCTTTTTGTTATGACGATAATGATTGTATCACCGTGTTGTGCTCTGGGTTTGTGTTGTTTGGTTTTGTGAAATATTACTATAGCGCTCACTTATTCATGGCAATAAGCACTAAAATCTTGTCATATCTCTGAACATATCCTAGCAGGTAATGAAACCGGATTTCTTCATTGCCCGTGCTATACGCGTAAAACTTGAAAAATATTTTTTTTTATACAATCACCTTTCGCCTGAAGGACACCTTACTTTTATGAGCAATTAATCCGATAATACGGATAACAGTTTTTTTAAATTCCCATTATTACGGGCTCCTATCAGATGGTCTCGAGGTCGTCCGCATATAAAAAATTGTACTTGCCTACAAAGATCTTGAAGCCGGAAGACTGCAGTTGATGTGAACACTTTCCACCGCCCCCACTTGAAAAACTGAGAATGTTATTATTATTATTATTATTATTATTATTATTGTTGTTGTTGTTGTTGTTGTCGGTGATGATACTTATTATTGGGTTTACTTGTCCTCCGACCACCCATTTTAAGTTTATTACAAAGTGCGACAATTTTATTACAAAGTACGATAGGAATTACAAAGTGCGACAGAACATACGATAGCCCAGGAACAAAACTCTTAAGGCCCTGTTACGAATTTTTAAGGCCGAGATCGATTGGGTACCTACGCTTTCTGTTGTACCGAATGTTTACCCTTTTGCTAATTTGCCTATTTTTCATTTTCGATTTATATTTCCGTTTTTCTTTCTTTTCTTTCAGTTGCTCCGCTGTCTGGGCGCGCCTTTTCAATCCAGTGTAAAATGGGATGGCAAGAATGGAACCAGGCCTGCTACAAGTTAACCAACGATTTTGTATCATTCTCCAGCGCCTCCTCCATTTGTAGGCAGAGTGGAGCTGAATTGGTGTCCATTGCAAGTCTCCAAGAAAACGAATTCGTCCACAATGTGTCCGAAGGAGAGGACGTCTTCATTGGTCTCCGTGCTGCAAAAGCCAGTGACAGCTTTGTCTGGTTGGATGGCAGCACTTTTGATTACAGTAGGTGGGAAGACGGAGAACCTAACGGCGATTGTGGAGTAGACGGCTGTTGCGTTATCCTCGTGGGACCTACCGGCAGGTGGAATGACACACCATGTGAGATGTGGCAGCCGTTTGTGTGTAAATTCACAAGCTCGCAACCCAAACTGCGGCCAGGTAATTGCCTAGTTTTTAACCTAGGGGAACGTGTCCGTGTGTTATGGGACTATCAACATTAGATACAAATAGTCAGAAACAGCGCGCCGAGTTTTGACAAATAAAATCCCCGAGCTTGGCGTTAATAAGGGCAATATTGAAGACGATAGAGCCATTTTAGAACATGACAATTTACAAAGAAATGTATGGATTGCTGGAGTCCCATATTTAGAGATGTTGGATGGGTGTATATATATCTCGTTCATTGTTAGCCCCATGAACACCTGTGCTTGAGGATTTTATACGTGGCTCACTGGTTAATAGAGCACTAAAGTGTGATGTCATAAAAAATTAAATTTGTGAAATCATGGGATTTGTCAGGATATTCTCAAAGAACATAATCCAAGAGGCCTACTTGCCGAAAACTAGCATTGTTGGGCAAATTGTCTCTGAGATATTAGCCTAGTTATGTTCTGATGACTCCTTACAAATCCTTCTAAATTTGACTTAGGTCTAAACTTTTAGACCCAAGCAGGATTTTAGAAGGATTTTTATGGAGTCATCAGAGCATAACTGGGCTAATATCTCAGAGCAGGAGCGCAAAATTTCGGCAAGTAGGCGTCTTGGACCTTGTTCTTTCAGAATATCTCGACAAATCTCATAATTTCACAAATTTAATTTTTATGACGTCATCACTTTAGAACACTATAACGGAGCTCCACGCGAGAGCGTAGCGCCACACCCAAGAAAATGTGGTACTCTACCCATCCGAGAAATTTTGGTAATCAAGTGACCGTACGCCCGTCCGTCCGTACGCACCACAGGTATACCAATGTAAAATAACTCAACGAACAGGTATGGCAACCCAAATGCAATTCGAGGTTATTTTGGCTGAAAATCGCGTAGCCACCCGCGTCTTGTGAAGCAGGGACAACTTAAAAGTCAATAAAGACGAAAACGGACATTTCCTCCATAAAACGTGTAACTAGGAAGTTTCACGTTGTAGTCGTGCAAAACAACGGCAGACATGTACAAATAAGTGTGCTGCACGTGCAAAGTTGCTTTTTTGCTAATCAGACCTGCTGTTGTTTTTCACCGTTCTCGTTGCCTTCGCCGTGTAGCGTTACACGATTTTATATTTTGTTTGAGCAAACAATAAATATTATCGAGATCTATATATTAATCCCATAGTATACAGACTTGTACCCAGTTCCGCTCGGTTTGACAGCAGGCCAAAGGTTAAGTAACGTCGACGGCGATGTCCGCCTAAACGACGCTCACTTATTACGATGTCTATAGCCTGCGTAGGCAGCAATCAATGAATAGGGATGAGCGCTTAGGTATGATAGCCTGTACACAGGCTAAGGTATGACTGCTCTTCTAAGTAGAACAAATTATAGTGAATGTACAAAAGTTATAGTGTATGCAAACTTATGTAAAAGAGGCGTAATGGATTGGTATTGGAGGTGGAGTTATTTCACACCCCAATTCATCAAACTCAGGAGTCCATAACCCTGAGAGAGCAACTGCCATGTACTCGTGTCATAGCGTTCTCACCGACCAGTTTATTTTAAGAACATATTTGGCATGAATTCAGAATGTACTTTTAGTCACATAGACCAGTCAGCAAAACCCACAGACCTAAAAATGATATGTTTGACGTTTGAAAGAGGTTTAGTTTTCCGTTTTTATATCTTACACTTGGAATGCGCTCATAGGTGGATCGGAGATTCCGTTTCGGCTGAAAAAAGCACTCTAAAATGTATATAAAAATAAAGCGGCCCGAGAAAACGCGGCGGCAGAGTTGCTATAGTAACTCCGGGTTGTGGGCTTCTGTCAAACTCGAATTAAAAAGCCTTTCTGTTTCCTTTTCAGACAAAAATGCACTGAAAAAAGAACAGAACTTCATCATACACGAGCAGAAAAGTCTGGCACATCACGTGATCTACAAACAATCCTTGTCGACTTTAATTCACTGTGCGCTGATGTGCACCAACTCGCCATTTTGTAAATCGGTCAACTTCATATCAGAGCAAGGAGGAAATTTTGGCGAATGTCAACTCAATGACGCTACAGCAGAAGACTTTCCATTCCATCTGAAGCGAGTTTCTAATTCAGTGTATTCTGTTGTGTATAGCTCATGAGATAGAATAATGCTACTCGTGCAGCATTGTCTGCAAGGCAGGCGTCGGAAAGGGGGGGAGTGGGTGAGGGGAGAAGGGAATGGGAGGGAATGGGAGAGCTGAAGAGGGAACTGATGGAGGAGAAAGAAAGGGAAAGGCTCCCTCTCACTTTTCCCATTCGCGCTTTTCTCCCCTTGCCTTCCCCTTTTTGCGCTTGTCCCCTGGGCTATTCCACCTGGACCTTAAAACGTTAGCATTGTACTATGTTACAGATGAAGCCAGTTAATACGGACAGTAAGGGGACTTCCCTCTTTGACCGTATTAGCCAGGTTTCCGTATTAAGGGTGCTCTCAGGAAAACACATGTTTTATCGATGCGAAGACGAAAGCAGACGAGAAAACGTTTAATTTCTAACCCTGTAATTGTAATAAGTTCATTCTCAAGAAACCTCAAAGTCTTTTATTGATAGTCTCGGACTAAAACCTCCCAAAACCATTAGACTGCAAAACAGTCTGTATTTTTGCGTATTCAAGTACGCGCGAACAGTCAAACAAAAGGTCTGGAACGAGGCTGAAAACAGAGAGCGAGACTGGAGAGAGACTCGCGTGCTTCGGGCGCGTTAGACTCTTAGGCTATTCTTTAGCGTTATGTTAAACCGATTTTGAGAAAAAAAACCCGACTGTTTTACAGTCTACACAACAATGGAATCCCTGACCTCACTTTCTACTGATGGTTTTAGATTGCGACTCAGTCAAGTCGACCAAATATTAGACAGAACCTTTGAATGTTTAATCGCCCTTTCTTTTAGTTACTGTTAGATTTTCACTAGTAAGTTCTTCAGTAATAGAAGGTGCTCAGATAAAGTGCTCAGATAAAGTGTCCGTATTAAGCGGATTTATTTTAAAGAAAATATAAGAGCTTTTGGTCAGGACAAACGAAAATGTCGGTTATATACAGGGGTCAGTAGTAAGTGGGTGTTTCTAGAGCGGGGTTCCATTGTACGACTATTTTCTAATACCCAGGCCCAAGTTCAGACGCCATTCACAAGCTTGCCTTAAATTGACTACCCATGTACCGATGCGGTTTTGATGGGAGCCGGGAGCGAGGTACTTCCGGGGGGTTTGGTACGGAGAAACTCCCCCTGGCTGTGACCCTTGTCCTTTTACATACCATTTTTAACATAACATGTATAACCCTTTCGTAAACCTTCTATTGACAACTGGTACCCCATTTACATACCTAGTTTAGAACTTTGCTTCCCCTTTTAACCGCTGTAAATGCACTGTCTTTTCAATACGAATAAATCACAAAACCAGAGCGTTTTTACGACTCTTTGACAGCCATAAAATGCATCTGTTAGCCCTTTTGGGTCTTTTTTTCTGTCAAAAAGCGTATAGCAAAGAGTAAGGGGTTGGACCTCGGGGCAAAGTCTCACTCGCATCGTATAACACTTTGATGAGTACCCCCGGTCCGAATTTGGTAGGGTTATGAACCGTATTGGACTCCACCGAGTCCTCTGTATCGGCGCTCTTGAAGCAAGGCATTTTTCATGGTAAGTCAGTGTTGCAATAAAGTCTTCAATTTTTGTTTGCAAACCTATATTCAGCGTTTTTTGTTCAAGTCATTTCATGTCCACAGTTCGAAAAATATAAACACTCTTTGTTCCATGGTTTTCTGCATGCGGAAAAAATCATGAGCGGTGACGCAAAAGAGGAAAAGAGACACAAAAGAGTTTAGAATTTAAATAGTCGACACTCCCTTTGCCAGAGTCTCTTTGCCAAAACTTTCCTAAGCTTCTGGCTCTTCCTCGTTACAAACAGCATTATGAAGACCCCATTCGAAGTGCAGTTCACACGACACTGGACGAATTTTCACTTTTTCGTTTACCGCTACACTGCATGTTAGAGCCGATTTTCGTATGAACTTGAAATGAAAATGCGTGAACAAAACAGAAACAAAAAACGAACGGAAATAGAGCGATTTCATTGGTTTGTCGAACGGATACAAACGAGCGTGGCTTATGGTTGGTTAAGCGAGCGCTCCGGTGAAAAAATTTCATGCCCGAGAACTTTCTAGAAATCAATCGATACTTCGATTTGACGTCATACTGCAACACGATTGGCCAATCGAACAATGCTTTCTCCATTTTAGGGTTTTCTTTGGCGGGAAAACGAAGAGTCCATGTTTTGTCCTTTTCATCTCTTGGCTGATAAACCGACGAGCACTTACCGAAACCATTTTTCAAGGTCATAGAAAAGTCGCTCTATCAAAAAGGAATAACAAGTATATGTATATGTGTATGTGTATATAGTCTCAAAGTCTTAGCTATATAGAGGCATACCACCATTAAAGCAACTTTAAGCGAGTATCCCCCAGAACGATTCGCCAAGTCAGATTTAACCATTTCATATATACTGATAGGACGAAAGCTTTTTCCCTGGCAGGGAAAACCGGAAATCACTTGTCTAAAATCCTGGATTCCTTGTGGTTGGTTCACGTCAGTATAATTTTCTGATTGATTGTTACAGTCCAACCCGCCATGTGCGATAACCCGCTCGTAAGCGACTACCTCCCATAAGTAGCCTGTTCCAGCCTCTCAGATAGTAGGGATGCAGATGACGCTTCCTTGAAGGCATGCGAAAATATAAGTACGTGATCTGGGGAAAGGGGGCGGTAGCGGGAAAAAGGAAGAGAAAGAAAAGGGCCCTTCCTCTCCCCAGTTTCCTCCCGTTTTGTTATCGCGTTCGCGCTTTCTCAATTTGGCGTACGCGAATATCTTTGCTGGGCCCTAGCCACCCGACCGTCTCGGAGCCGGAACAGGTTACTCATAAGCGAACGCCTATCCAAAATACCAAAATTTTCCAAGTCAAAGCTTTGCAGCTTAGAACCTCTTGTAAACGACCACCTTCTCTAAGCGACCGCGACCAAGTTTTGGAGCGGACAGTTTAATAATTTTCTTTTGTTTTTAGCAACAACAACAACTTTATTTGCATTTCTCTTATCTTTTTTAACTTAAAAGTTACACTGTGTATATATTTCTATTATACATATCTACGTTTTTGAGTTAATTTTTAAGATAACAAAAAAATAAGTATTAATGAAGGAAATGTCCAGAGCCTAAATGAACCGCGAGGTCTAAATATATAGCCTTTTGTAAGCGACCACTTTACGCACATTTTGACGTCTAAGTTTGCTATTTATCCTACGGTACTCAGATTATACAAAAAAACCTTTAATGAAGACATGAAACGACACATTTTGTAAATTAGAAATTGCATGCAATAATTTATTTTCCATAAAATAGATGTGTCCGGACCTCTCGGAAGACACCCCTTATCGTACGATTCAATAGCGGATCCAGACCTTTAGACAAGGAAGCGGGGGCCGGCCGGCCATCCAGGCCCTGAGATAAGGGGGGCGGTCTCCAAAAGAAGTTTTTTCGGCCCGTCGGGCCTCAGTTTGGTCTAAAAATAAGGGGAGGTCCGGCCCCTCCCCCTCTGGATCCGCCATTCCCTTTCTTGCAAACGACCACCTCCTGTAAGCGACCAGGCCCGGGTTGCTCGAAGCATGGTTAGTGCTAACCAGCGTTAAATACCATGGAAACCTATACATTTTGATACCTCTTAACCAACGGTTAGCGCTAACCAGGCTTCGAGCAACCGGCCCCAGTAAGATATTCCCATTTTAGATGGTCGTTTATGGGACGTACGCTCGACTGTAAATACATTATCAAGGACTGAGGACGGTGGATTCGTGAATGCATGGCTCTCCTTATCGGTTGTTACCGATCATTATCCTAAATCCTCTACTACCCCCTCCCTAATGATCCCCCCCCCTTTATATGGGAAGAAAGTTATTATGAAATCCACCTCTCTTTTAAGACTCCCTTCTCCACTTCAGTCTTTACAACGAAATTAATAGTACTTCTCCGCATCCTCTTTGCTGCGCAGGGATCACCAGTGATTTCAAAATGGATATAATAAAGAAAATAATACAATTTATTTCAATTCAGGACCTGCTGATGGGGGAACATATCGATCGATCAAGATTGAAAAATTAACACAGGTCTACTGCAAGCAGTCATCAATCTGCTGAGACCTTCTTTGTACAATTACTATTCATCATTTAATCGTGATAAACAAGTAGTTTCTAAAGTAGAGAATTTTTAAGAATCTATCTTGATTTTCAATGGATTGTAATTAAACACAGGCTATATCAAAGGCAATGGATTTTATTTAGAACTATGGCTTTTTAGAAAACGATTTTTCTAACGCTAGTTAGCTAAAGCTAATCGATGCTAGACGTCTTTAATAAAAAATAAGGTTTAAAAAAATTGTTTGGATTTAGTATTTGAACACAATTTTTAAGCTTTATAAAGTAACGAAAAGTACGTTTATTTTTACATTGATTGTAGCCGATGAAAATTAAGGAATTTGTACAAAGGTGTTTAATGAAAAAGTGTTGACGCAAAATTGAAGAAAATTTGATTTTATTTGTGGACGGCTCGTGCTATTTGCCGAAGCAATATCCCTCCCTTCGATAATCACCTGCCACAACCAGTGCTAAACGAACGTAAAAATTAAATATTTATCACGAAGCAAAAAGGAAGACCACTAAAAGGAAGTTTGGACTAAAAAATTCTGATCAGTTTGAGATCCCTTTCGCCAATACCGCCACTGTCCAAGCTCGGACAGCTGAAAATTAGGAACGTCGCACACAGTCGCTAGAATACCGTGCAGTAAAACAAACCCTTTGATTTCTGATTGCTACGAGGTTATGCACCAGTCAATTCTGCCTGCGCATAGCCCTCCCCCCCCCGGCCTACTGCGGGGCATTTGCCCGCCTCGTCAGTCCCGGGGGTGGGGCATTTGCAAATTTTGCACTGCCCGGGGACCGGGCATTTGCCAACCCCCGGGCCATTCCCGAGCTTTTGACAGGTACGCGGTTTCCTATCAGAATTTCACTACACAGAAGGTTTTACTGGAAAAAAAGCAGATTGGCTCATCTGTCAAGGACAGGAA